ATATATTGTACTATGATTAATTTAGTCAAGAAAGGAAAACTCAAAACATGAATATTGTGCCAATCATAAAAACATATGTATAATAATAACAAAATAGACCTAATATCTGCACATAATCAGATTTTAAAGAGCAGTTTTCTACATAGGAAAAATGTGTGACTTTATATTGCCAATGACTGAGGCTTCCCAGCAGTCCTGTTTTTGCAAATCATGCTGTAAGAGATCACATAATTATATGATCCTATTGGATCTTCAGTAGCTAAGACTCTGTTGAAAAGTTCTGAGAGTTCTTGTGTCATTACCATCAAGAAAACTTTAGTAACATCCTATTTTGTAAATCAGAAATGGGAGGGATTATTCCCCCACTTCTGCTAACACTTAAAAGTAACAGCACAATGGATAAAGTAGAAGGTGAGTGCATTGTAGCCATGAAGGAAAGGAAGGCCTCAATGAGGCAAGAAGTATTTGTGACTCCATAGAAAATCCATCAGTGAATCAAACTAGTCATAGAGAACCTGCTGCATGTTTGGCACTATAGTAATGTAAAGAACTATACATTGTTTCCACCACCCAGGTTATTCCATTTTAGTCTCAGAAACCAAAGCAATGCACATGTAACAAATGCAGAGAAAGCCCACAGCTTGTCATTGTAATGGCAGAAGAAAAATTAAAATATAAGCATGCTCAGTTAAGTATAAACTATTCATTTGAGGTAATCATTGCTGTCACTAGTCCTGTCATAGAATCAAAGTAGAAACACAGAAAGATGGGTAGGTACTACAGCTGGCCAGCCTTATTTCTAACAATAACAATGGAATGATACACAGGCATCCTACTTTCATACTTTCATAGTACTTCCAAGGACAAGTAAATGATCACATAAAAAAAGACTTTGACAGTTATCTTGCCCAAATCTTTCTTCAACCAAGTTAACTCTGGAGTGTTAACTTATAGACTAGCATAAGAGTCAGTCATTAAAAAAATTATTGAAAGACTATATGCCAGGCATTCTCGTGGGCACAGGCCAACAATAAATTGATGATGTTTTAGTTAATGGATCCATGAGAGTTTGGATACTGATATATGCTATGAGTAATTGAATAGAACAACTTTAGGCTTACTTGGCTAGCATTAATGAAGTCTTCTTAAAAGAGGTGACTCTTGAATTGAGACATCAATGAAAAGAAGGCAGCCATCCATTGAAGGAGAAGAAGATCATTCCAAGAGAAGGAATAGCAAATACAACTGTCCTGGGTAGAAAGAAGCCTGTTTAATGTGAGGGAGAGAAAGGGGGCCAGCATGGCTGGAGTAAATGAAGGGAAAAGTTGTAATGAGGCTGGAGTAAACAGGTGTCCAGTTACATATATTTTCATAGCGCACGCTAGAATCTGGATTTTTTACTGGTTGCAGTGGAGAGAATTTTGAAGATTGTGGGTGAAGAAATAGTTTAATCTACACTTTAGAAAAAAATTACTAAGGCCATAGAACAGTGGAGAGTGAAGATAGAAACGTCATTGCATCCAATCGGGTGAGAGATGAAGAAGAACTGGACCAAGCTGTAGCAGTCTCATCTCTAGATGACAGAAGTATTGGACTCAGGGCATTTATGGTGTAGAGACAACAGGAATTACCAGTACATTTGGATATGGCATTTTGGGGGAAGGTCAAATTAAGACTTCAGCATATTTTGCCTGAGTTGCTAAGTGTTACTGCCATTAGGGAGGCCCCTGAGAAGTCAAGAGGGATGGGATCCAGGACTCAATGGAAGAGATTGGCTTTCAATTGGCTCATGGACAGTTCATCTACTACTATAACATGTAGAAGACAGAGAACCTGTGCAGCAATGGAAACAGATGAGGAAAATGGCAGGAACATGTGGTATTTTCCAATTATTTATTATTGTTTTTTCGGTAAAGTAAGAAGCATTAGCTAAGAATTAATTGAGGAGAGGCAGTGATGGAGATTTGAGGAAAGAGAAGTTGTAAAATAATTATCTTGGAGGAGAAGGAGAAGTGTGATAAGATAGTCTGGAAAAGTCAAGAGGCCAATTGTGACGTGTAGCCATATTTGAAGTGAGGCCAACTAGCATGGTGGTATGCTTTTTGCAATAATCAACTCTGTAGATGCTGGCAGAGAGTAAGTAGATAGTTGAATTTAACCATGGGCATTAGTTTTCTACTGCTCTTCTATTGCTCAGACTTAGTGGCTTAGGGAACACAAATTGATTACCTTGCTACAGGTCAGAAATCCAAACTGGATATTACTGGGCTAAATTCAAGAAGTCAGCAGGGCTGCATTCCTTCTGGAGGCACTAAGGAAGAATCAATTTATTTGCCTTTTCCAGCTTCTAGAGCTCATCTCTTGGCTTTGTTGATCCCTTGCATCTTTAATGCCAGCAATGGCTGCCATACCTCTGCTACCTCCCATGAGATTACACTGGGTCCACCTGGATAATGCAGGACAACTTCTCCATCTCAAGGCTAGCTATTAGCAATCTTCATCCCATCTGCAACTTTAACTCCCCTTCGCCATATAATCTGACATATTCACACATTCAGGGATTAGCACATGGCATCTTTAGGTAGCCATTATTCTGCCCAGCTCACCATGGTTGAGGTTTTGGCAAATGAAGAGGATGGAAAAGAGTGACGGTGTTTATAAGGGATAATTATACAGCAAAACTCCAAGCCAAGGAGAAAGTGCGGTTATGAGAAGGATGGCAAGGAGGGAACACGCTAGTCATGTCAGGGAGTGATGGGTCTCAAAGAGGTCAGAAAATTTCTGAAGTGGAGTACTGGAATCAGTAAACTGGATAAATAGGACGTGATGGTTGAGACAGGAGATTTCAAAATCGGATTTCAGAAATGTGAAGTTGTTGGACATGGCAACGTTTTTGAGTTTTGAAACTGAAAAACCCAAGAAAATGAGTAACAAGTCATTTTCCTCTAAAATAAGTCAAATACCTAGCACTGGCCCCAACGTTATGGTAAGGTTCTAAAGTGCTTATTTTTTAATAGAATATGCACAGTTTATTGATTCCCGAAAAGTAAACCCAGATTCACATTCTGTTCCTGGCCCCTAGACCTCTATCGAGAGGAAGTTATTCCCCAGCACGAGCTGTGTGAGAAGTAGGGAGTGCAGTGCATAGAGAGGGAGTTCTGTCACCCAGGGAAGCAGTGGCCAAAAGACCTAGGCAGGAGACCCATGCTTTGTGTGAGGAAGATAGGACATTTTGTTTGGGGACGAGTAAATGACTCAGAAAATGACGTGCAAATACTTCCACCAAAGTGTGGTAGAGTTATCTGGGATGTCTTTATGGTACCTAGGGAACATTTAGCATCTAATTTGCTAAGGATGTTCCTATTTTGAAGTTAAAACTGTTTCAAGATATATTTTGCAATACAAATATGGGCCATCTCATTGCACTATTCATTGAAAGATTTCTCTCTAGTGTACTATGCCCAGAAAGCATTGAATTAGTTATGCTCCATTGAAACCAGTACAAAATGGACTCAGAAGTTTGTAGTTTCCATGTCAGATTATAAAAATAACATTTTCTTCCAAGCCCATGCATATACTTTTTTCCGAAGTAGTAGAAAATGACAGTTCACTAAAAATAAGAGATCAGGTTTGCATGTTCTCTGTACTTTGGGGAGTAAATATGAGTTGGATATGGAATCCAAATAAAACTAGAGAATAGATGAAATGATGCATGATGTATTCCAAGGCCAAGAATTAATTCAATGTAATTATCACAACGATATTCTTAGAAAATAAGAATTTACCCTACGCTTTTTGAAGAGAATGAAATTTGATGGTTTAATAGTTAGAAAATAGTACACTATACATATTTTAAATATTTTATCAAACTAATAGAAGCCACTACATTATAGAATATGCAAAATACAAGTTGCAGTTTTTAAAAATTCATGTGATTAATTCCATGACACTGTTAATAGCCTCACCCGTCTCATCCCACATCATACCCTTCATTTGCTCTCTTATATCCACTCTCTCCAAACCCTTCTTTCAACTTTTCAATTTTCTAAATATCCTATGAAGCTTAGCCCTTCCACAGAAAGTCCTTTGACTGTAAGGCCCAAACACGATTGATTTCCGACTTTCTTTTGGCCTTGGGTTTAGTACCACCATTCCAAAGCAAATGCTCTCTGCTGGCTAGATTTCACATTGAACAATTTGAGGTTTGTAAGGACAAATTGAATTCTTACATGACTCTCCCACCCCCCTACAGAACCAGCCTGGTCCTGGGCACAGAGTCATGCTCAAAAGCATGTTTTATTGATTGATTTAATGGATAATTAATGCATGTCTCAACTCACCATCCAACCTCCAGCACACCCTACCTACCTTTCAATAAACATCTAGTTTGAAATTCATTTTGTTGTGGCAGTGGTGACAGTGGCAGGGAAATAAAATAATGTATAGACTCTGGGCCACCGTTACAAATTTCATCAACAACAACAATTTTAATTACCTTTTGACAGATTAATTTAAAGTAGGCTAAGGGAAAATCAAACCAATTCTCTAATAAGCCCTCATCTATCAAAAAGTCATCCCAAGAGGTGAATATTTTGTATGCACTTGTGTGCATATGTAAATGGCATCACTGTAGTCCATCGTTTCTGAGTTCCCTGCCCTTGAGGAGCTTACAGTAATTCTGGTTTGAAGAATGACATGGCATGTTGAGAGAAAAATCATCATATTATGTCCATTTGACCATCATACAAGTCCAGCTAAGTTGGGATTTTTGTTTATGTTTTCTGCAGTTTCTCCTAAAAGGTAAGCACCATCAAGGCAAAGACTATGTCCGCATTGTTCATTGTTGTAGCCTTCATAGCTAACACAATGCTTGCATACAGTAGGCAATAAATATTAAATTAATGCAGAATTTCTATTTAACATAAAGAAGACTGAGGAGTGAGAAAGGGAGGGCAGGCAGCACATTCTAAGACTGCAAAGGCAGCAAACACTGTGGTAACATGGTGTATTATACTAAACCTCTCATGAACAGCAGCCATCGACCAGGTCCTCCCAGAAAGGAGAGCAATGAGGGTCCAGGGATCTCCATTAGCCAGGAAGCAAGAAATGGCCAGAGAGGAAGGGAAGGAGTGCTGTGCTGCAGCCAGACAGCCGGAGCTCATGAACACCAAGTATCTGTTAAGACTGGCCCCGGGGAAGTCCAGCCTCCGGTCCAGAGCCGCTGGATTTTGGTAAGGGAGGTTTTTAAATTCTTGGTCCCACTGAAAAGGCAGATGGAGGTGAGCTTCCCCGGCCAAACTGGGCTCCCGAGCTGTGGATCTGAAGGTTGAGCCCCTAGGGGATTTCACCCTGAGGAAGAGTCCTCAATGGTCAGTAATTTTGCTCTTGGTATGAAAAAAAATACATAAATGCATACATATATATACACACACACACATATAGATACAAACGCCTTTCGCTTAAGCCTTTAATCAGTTCAAGGATTGCTTCTGTTTGGAGAGTAGTGGAAGACTTTCAGATACATTTTTTTTTTCTTGAGACAGGGTCTCACTTTGTCACCCAGGCTGGAGTGCAGTGGCACAAACACAGGTCACTGCAGCCTTGACCTCCCAGGCTTAAGCAGTCCTCCTGCCTCAGCCTCCTGAATAGCTTGGACTACAAGCGCCTGCCACCACATCTGGCTAACTTTTGTATTTTTTCATGGGGTTTTGCCATGTTGCCCAGGCTGGTCTCCAACTCCTGAGCTCAAGCCATCCACCAGCCTCAGTCTCCCAAAGTGCTGAGATTACAGGAGTGAACCACTGTGCTCGACCAGTTACATGTTTAACAGCTTTATTAAGGTAGACTTGACATATAATAAATGGCACATTTTTAATTGTACAATTTGATAAGTTTTGACATATGTACATACCTGTCACTAAGTCAAGATAATGAACATATCCATCACCCCTTCCCCCTAAAATGTCCTTATGCCTCTTTGTTATCTATTTGTGCTAGTTAATGATTTATTACCTCTCAGCTCCAAATGCATTTTTTGCCTGCTCCATGAAAATGGACCTAGGCCCTTTAAATATTTTCCCTTTGGAGCTGGCAGCATGTTGAGCTTTGCCGGTAGAGGGCGCCGGAGAGATATTACCAGAGGAAAGGGTTTCCCTTCTGGGTTCCAGTGTGTGCACTAGACAGGCTTTTCTAGGGGCCGGCATCACCAGGTGTCCAGAAGCTCCCTCAAATACTTCCTCGGGAATTATCTTTTTTTTTTTTTTTTTTTTTGAGAAGGAGTCTCGCTGTGTCACCCAGGCTGGAGCGCAGTGGCACGATCTCAGCTCACTGCAACCTCTGCCTCCCGGGTTCAAGCAATTCTCCTGCCTTAGCCTCCCGAGTAGCTGGGGCTACAGGCGTGCACCACCACGCCCAGCTAATTTTTTGTATTTTCAGTAGAGACGGGGTTTCACCGTGTTAGCCAGGATGGTCTCGATCTCCTGACCTTGTGATCCGTCCGCCTCGGCCTCCCAAAGTGCTGGGATTACAGGCGTGAGCCACTACGTTCCTTGGGCATTTTCATAGGTGAGTGCCTCTGGTGAGACACGTTCTATGAACATTCTGGTGAGACACGTTCTATGAACAGCTCCTTTGGCAGCCTAGAAAGTGGATTTCAAGCAACTTACACCAGTGCTGCACCACAGTCACTTCGTTTGCCGTCCAGTTCTGTATCTCAACCTTATTGAGGCGGTGGCAGCACGGCAAGGAATGGGGCTTTTTTTCGGGTGCTTTGCCTCAGCATTCAAAAGCATAGCTGCTCCTTATAGCTGCTATTCCTATAGAGTTCTCTTTACTCCTGGTTGCTCCAATTCCCTGTTATAGTTAGTAATTCTTATATTTTCTCTGTTTCAATTACTGTACAGATTTCCTCTCTTGATTGGACCCAGACCATATCTACCTTCTCATATATCTATATCTACATGCACACGCACACACGCACACACACACATCTGTTTGTATTTGTATACCTATATCTGCCTTCCCATGTGAATTTCCATATGAATTTTAGAACTCCTATCAATTTCTACCAAAAAAAGCCTACTGGAATATTGATTAGAATTACATTGAATCTAAAAATTAATATAAGGAGAGTTGACAGATTGGCAATATTTTGTTTTCTAACCCATAAACGAGTTATACTGCTCCATTTATACATGCATCTTTAATTTATCTTGGTAATGTTTTGTAATTATCAGTGTACTGGTTTTGCATATTCTTTGTCAAATTTATTTCCTAAATATTTCACACATTTATGTTATTGTAATGACATTGAAATTCATATTGATCACTGCTAGGATATAGAAATACAGCTGAGCTTATATGCTGAACTTGTATTCTGCAACCTCACTAAATTAACTTATTCTAGTAGCATTTTTATAAATTCCATCTGTCTTTCTATGTAATCATGTCATCTGCAAACAAACAGTTTTACCACTCCCTATCCAATCTGTCTTTTCTTTTTCTTTCCCATCGCACTGGCTAGAACTTTCAAAACAATGTTGAGTAGAAGTGGTAAGAACAGACGTTGTCTTCTTCCTGATTTTAGGAGGAAAGCATTAAATCTTATTAATTCTGATGTTAGCTGCAGGTTTTTTTTTGTGATGATCTCTATCAGATAAAGGAAATTCCCTTCAATTTCTCATTTGCTGAGAGTTTTCATCAGAAATGGATGTTGGATTTTCTCAGATGCTTTTTTAGCATCTTCTAAGGTGATCATATGGTTTTTCTATTTTAGTTATTACTCTGATAAGTTACATTATTTGATTTTCAAATGTAAAACCATCTTTGGGATAAACTCCACTTGTTCATGACGAATTATTTTTTTAAATGTTTTTCTATTTTTCTTCTCAAAAAGGCAGAATATAAAACTTTTGGGAAGGGAAAAAAACAGTGAGGAAAATATGCTGATGACTTCTCAACCTCTTACTCAATTTTAGTAAGTAATTTGAGCTTTGGGGAAGAACAGAATCTATGTTTGCTTCCCATTACTTCTCAGTATCATTTCCAACCCAAGTCTCTTTGTTCAGTTTCTGAGATGGGCTTAATGAAATTTTTTTAATATACTATTTGTTGGTCTTCTAATTTTAGCATCAGTAACAAAGTCTGAGATGTGATAAAAGATACATAACAATCTTACCTGGTAACTTTTCTCCAACAGAACTAATATGCAAGTAGTTTTTCCTCATTATTTTCTACGAGTAGATAATTGTATATGTTCTCAGAACCTTGTCTTGATTTTCAACTTTTATACATTGTACCTTGCACTTCATAATTACCTTGACTAAGTGATTTCAGTAATGGTATAAACTTCAGTTCTAAACCAGGAAGGAAGTTTTTTCAAAAGAAAAGTTTCAACTTCATGTTAAATATTCTCCCAACTTCTAGACAGTCATTTTACTAGAGCTGCCACAAATCAATACCTTATTTTCATGTAATGCATAAAAGAAGTTGTTATAGATGTATTTTTTAAAGTATGGATATATGCCCATTATATGTAGTTTTTACTCTGTACTGTTATTTACAGAAAAGTACAAATAGACTATATTGTAAGTGGGAAAGGGAGAATTTCTTTTTTGGAGGTCTTTTTGTTCAATTCAAATCAAGGAACATTTATGGAATGCCAACTCTACACAGCATTCTTTTGTTAATAGTATTTCTTAATTTGTTATCCATTTCCTAAGTGACAGTATTTTATCATTTTATTTGATAGGTCTATTTTAACAGAGAAATGGCTACTCTTAGATTAGTCATATGATGGATGATAATGTAATTTATTTCATTCAAGTAGGGATAGTTCCTGCATTTCTGGGAATCTCATTATCTTGAAAACTTTGCCCTATTATCTTCTTCTTTTCACGAAATTACCTCCTTAGCTTAATTACAAGTGTAGTGTTTTCCCACAGGCAATATAATATCTACTTACCCTAAATACCCCAAAGTAAAGAAAACTTAGAGCATTAAGTAAAATTGATTTGTTGAGCCCAAATCGAAAACAACATTACAGCTTACTGGTTAATCAATGTAAATTTCACTAATGCCACAAGGAGTCAAATCCATTTGTAAAAGAACATGTGTGCAATCTATTTCATAAACTTGTATCATATGCAATGTTAATTTGACCTCACTAAGGTAGTTCTGTGAGACAAAAATAATATTACCTCAAAATGCTCTATTTAATCATTGTATAACATGAGTTATGTCCAGTTAGGGCAGGAGATGTGTACAGAGCTATATGGAAACATTTATTGACATAGAAAATAGCTGTTTATAAATTTGATCAGTTAGTTATTATAGCAAATTTATAGCACACATCCTAAGGAAAAGCTACTCAATAGTGACCACAAGAATAAGAAGTCCCCACTTTTTGCCAAATTTAATTCTTGAAAATTGTTTCTAAGATGACAACAGCATTTCTCCACAGGCTGAAAATGTTATTGTGGTTACATTTCCCGATCAAATAAATAAATAAAAAATGTAATCAATATTATATCACAGTAGCAAAGATACAACAAATATAAACTTCTTTCATGAGATAAAATGGCAAAATTATGCTGCCAATCATATAAAACAGCACAGATTTACTTATTACTTGCTCCTCAGGAGTGAAAAATCCCACTCCCTGTACACATAATTTCTAACAGTGCTACTCTACTGTGTGGTTACCTAAAGTAGTATACTAGCTGAAACATGCTTTGGCTAAAATTTTACTGACGTTTCCTTGGCTTAGAATTTAGGAGAATTTGGAGGGACTATATACACTTTTCAGCGCTCCTGAAACTGTCCATAGACATTTGAGCTGCTGCCTTCTTTTTCCTAATGTGTTTTTCCTCTAGCCAACAAAAGTGTTCATTCATAATTATCCCTTTGACCTTAAAACCGCCTCAAATAATGAAGCCACTGGTTACCCAGTGGTTCTGTTGACAGCTATGAGAGTAGTTCACACTTTACTGGGAGATC